ACAGCAGGCACACCATGTTTGTTGACTAACTGCACAAATAGAATGCTTATGCTGAATTTAGCTAGCCTTTCTATAACACAGGAGAAAACTTACACTGGGTAGGATGAAGTAAATACTAATTCCCAAGAGCTTCTTCTATCACCATTATCCTATGAAATAAGTCAGACAGGCTAGCCCAGGCAGTGCCCTTGACCATTACTAAAGAACTACTGAAGGACTATGGGTTGTTGAATGACACATTAAAAGCCCTGTTTTCACATTACACAATTTTCACATCCCATCCAGAATTGTGTATAGATCTATGAAAGGGAAATAGAATGTTAGAAGAAACATGAGAAGTCCGTGCAGTCCATGCAGTTAGGGAGATTGAGAGGCTTAGCAATGTTCCCTTTTTATAGAACTCAAGTCCAGTAGCTCAAAGATTTGCACCCTGACAGAGCCGGAATTAGAACCCAGGCCTTCTCTCAACACCAAGCTCTCCCATACGGCTCTGCCTTAATGGCAAAGCGCATACAATGCAAGAGTCTAATGAGACCCTACGAAATAAACACCTTCCAGAAAAAATGGACAAAGGATAACACAGGCCACTCACTCAGGAAACGCAAATACCCAACAAGAGCTGGTAAGAATGCTCAACCACACTAACAGCAAGAATTGCAAACAAGTTATTTTTCACCTACACCACTTTAAAAAAAACTGAGAGAAAACCCCACTGTTAGCTGAAAGTGTGATAAAACTGGTAAAACCTTTCTGGAAGGCAATCTGGCAATGCACATCAAACCTTGAAACATACATCCTTTGACCCAGTAATTCCGTATCTAGAAATTCACTCTAGGAAGTAAAAGGAGACAAATATAATGAGAAAGTTCTTAAAACTGCCTGTATATCATAAGCACCTTAACAATCTTCATCACTATTAATAGTAACGGTACTGCTTCCAGCAAATTGGTGGAGGGAATGGTTAGCCCTCAGAAACGTTTACATCAGTGAGTAATAAGGAAATGAAGGTCTGAGACTAAAAAGAAAGCATGGCAATCACGAAATGAAACAAAAAAATCATGTACGGTTTTTTCTCAAAGGGAGAGGAAACCAAGTTCAACAAAGGGAATAAAAACAGAATCAGTGAAAAGGGAACAGTGAAAATAAGAGATGAAAAAAGATTACAAGATCCTACAGTGCTGTCCTTCCACAGGTGGCTTAATAGGAGAACTCTTATAATGTCAAATATCCAGATCCCACTCTGAGTTAGAATCTCCTAGACTGGAACTCAAGGATGAGGACTTACACCCGTTCCGATGATCCCACTGAACACCCCTGACTTAGAACCACAATGGATCTATAGCGGAGGTTCTCAACCTTGAGTGTTCAATGTATTCACCTGAGGGCCTTTTGAAAATGCCCGGCAACCAAGCCCCAGGCCAGAGGAATCAATCCTGGCAACAGAGCCTGAGCAATTCTTTTTTTCAAACTTGCCAGTAATTCTCACGTGTGTAGCCACAGGTGTGAGTCAAAGTCCTGCACCAGTGGTTTTCAGAGTGTGGTACGCAGATCAGCATGGTTGGCATCAATAGGGAACTTGGCAGAAATGAACATTCCTGGGCCCCACTTCAGACCCACTGAATCAGATATTCTGAGGAAAGGCCATTATCTTTAACAAAGCTCTCCAGGTGATTCTAACGCATGCTACAGCCTGAGAAACACTGTCCCACAGTCACTCTTACATAAAAATCATCTGTAATGCTTATCAAAAATACATTACCTGGTCGGCTTATTTTCAACAAGGGTGCCAAGAAAATTCAATGGGGGAAAGAATAGTCTTTTTAATAAACAGTGCAAGGACAGGACAGCCACATGCAATGAAAGAAGTTAGAGCCACCTCAAATTATATACAAAAATTAACTCAAAATGGAACCCTTTCTTGCATCACATTTCACCCCATTTCCCTATATTCCACCACATTCCACTCCATTCCACAACATTCTATCACATTCTATTGCGTTCCATTCCATCAATGTAGTCCCCATTCGCTCCCAAACCACTCAGGAACCGTCTATTGCATCACATTACACCCCATTCCACTCCATTCTGTAACATTCCACAACATTCAGACAAGAAAATACTTGCAAATCATATGTCTGATAAAGGTCTAGTATCAAAATACATTAACAAATGTCTTGCCAATGGGTTTCAGCCTGGACAAGTTCGCTATGGATTCAGCGTAACCAAAGAAAATTGACAGCAGAAAGCTCTTGGGGTGAAAGGGTTATACCCAACTTTATTTTCAGGTGGCAGGCCAGTCACTAGAATCCTGTTCACTCAGAGTGAGTCCGTATACAGCAAACCAGTCTGCCTCTGGGTCCCTCTGTCTGCACAGCCGTTGTGCAAAGCCATCCTCTGGGCCTCTCTGCACAGTCGTCCTGCACCAGGCATCCTCTGGGCCTCTGTCCTCGGTGCTGCCACCACTCCAGCCTCTGCTCTGCTCTCCTGCAGCCTTGCAGCCCTGCCACTGTGTTATGCCCACAGCACTGGGCAGAGCTCTTTATATACAGTCAACAGCCATGTATGGCCCACAGGTGTGCAGTGAGCTAGTCAACCAGGGCCAGGTGAGAATCCTGGCCACAAGAACTCTCATCTCATCTTATCCACACTCCACCCCTCCAGGATTCTCTCCTCTCGGTCTATGTGCCCTCAGTCCTCTGCAATGGTCCCTGTGCAGGGAAGCTCGGACATTGTTCTCCAGCCTCTCCAGCAAAAAGTCTTGCAGACACACAGGCGGGACTCGTGGCTCTGTCTCTGGCCTCTGCCTCTTTGGTCTTCATGGCTGGAACTGCTGCTCTGGTTTCAGCTGTTGCCATAGCTCCAGTAAGATCCTATTGGGCTTCCCGCCTAACTTCTACGCCTGACCATATCAAATCAACCCACATCTGGGTCCTCGTAACCCTCATGAGACCCCTCAAATTCCTCCTGTAACAGTCTTATTTCTTTCCGGGTTCTTGTTGCTTCAGCTACTGTACGTGTCACCTTGCATTTTGTAATCGCTGCCTCAAGGCGGGCTGCACTGTCAGGGAAGACAGCGTTCCCATCTCTGATCCCGGCAGAACAATTCCATCTACCCCTAAGTCCCACAGCCCCCGGCTCAGCCTGAGTACAGGGGCGGAGCATAGAGTGCTCCACGACCTGGGGAGGGGACTGCTCCTCTCCTTGGGGAACTTCCAGCTGCTGGTATTTGCTTTACAAGCATGGGACGTGCTTTCAATACAGGAGGCGTCAGTGCCTCCCGCACCACCCCTTCATCCTTTCCCAGCACCTCCATTTCCGGGGCTGATGGCACCTCTCTCTTCCCTCCCCCGCTACAGTGCCTCGCAACAATGACAGCTCAGCTCGGTCTTCAGAAGGTCTCTTACCTTCAGCTCAATGCTTCGCAGCTGACGTTCTCGTGCCACCTCCACCTGTGCTTCCCTCAGGAGCTCGTCCTTTTCCTTGATGGCCTCTTCCTCCTTCAGAGCACCTGGCAGCGCTGCCCTCTCGTCTTCCATGGCTCCTTGCTGCCGGCGCTCTCGTGCTGCCTCCTCCCGCATTCAGGCCATCATCTTCCTCAGGGCATCCACAGAGGTTTGCAGCCCGTGTTCTCGTGCCGCCTCTTGCATCAATGCCACTTCCCTCCTCAGGGAATCTACTGAAGTCTGCAGCTCACATTCTCATGCCACCATTTCTTGGGTCTCCTCTGTAGACCTTTTTAAGACTGTGAGAAGCAGCCAGCCCACAGTCCCCGCTGCCTCCCGGGCACTATGCTTCTCAAAGGATCTGCTTACGATACCAAGGGCCATCCCCACTGCCTCAGGTGTCACCTCCACTTACCTCCAGTCCTGGGGTGGGGCCCAGTCCTCTAGGAGGCAAGCCACCTCAGACCACATACCCATTGGGGGACAATCCACTGTCTCCCCATTCACAGGGGCAGCCCTCTGAAGCACCCCTCCCATAAGGGCAGCCTGTCTTTTTCCTTGGTCAACAGTGAACCCTGCCAACTTTCGCCAATTATCTTGCAAATGGGTTTCAGCCCCGGGCAAGTTCGCTATGGATTCAGTGTGACCAAAGATAATTGACAGCAGAACGCCCTTTGGGGTGAAAGGGTTATACCCAACTTTATTTCCAGGTGACAGGTCAGTCACTAGAATCCCGTTCACTCAGAGAGGGTCTGCATGCAGCAAACCGGTCTACCTCTGGGCCCCACTGGGCCCCTCTGTCCTCGGCGCTGCCACCACTCCAGCCTCTGCTCTGCTCTCCTGCAGCCCTGCCACCGTGATGTGCCGGGAGCACTGGGCGGAGCTCTTTTTATAGAGTCAACAGGCATGTATTGCCCACAGGTGTGCAGTGAGCTAGTCAACCACAGCCAGGTGAGAATCCTGGCCACAGAAACTCTCATTTTATCCACAACAAACAACTCAACAAGACAACCCAATGTAAAATATAAGCAAAAGATATGACTAGCTATTTCTCCAAAGATGTTTGGCCAATGCACATGAAAAAATGTCAATATCACTAGCTATCAGGGAAGTGCACATGAAAACACAAGACACCACTTCATACCCACTGGGATAGCTAAAATTAACGAGACACATAATAACAGCATTGAGGAGTATGTAGATTAGATCACCCAGAGAGGAGAAAGGGGTACAGGGCCAAGCCTTGAGGAACTCCAAATATAACTACCAATAGAAGAAAACAAGCCTATCGTGTAGACCAAGAAACAGCCACCAGAGAAGAAAATCAGTGTCTCGGAAGGCATAGGAAAGGGGCATATCAAAGGTCAGGACTGCTGAATGTAGATGAAAAGTGAAATGACTAAAAATGTCCCTTAGATTTAGTAATACGGCAGAATGCAGAGGTGATGATATCCCACATAATGACGCTGGCAAAATGACAAGGAAAGTAGGCTTCCTCTGAACTCTCTACTGTGTAACATGTCACTCAGACACAAAAGTTTTAAAATAAATGAGTACCTTGATTATCTGCAATTAGTCTCAAATCCTCTTGAAAGATGAGTCTGGAAAATAAAAACCGATTAGAAAAAGCAAGAGCACAAGTTCACAAGCCCACAGTAAAGACCCTTTAAAAACTACCTAAAAGGGATTAAACTCCACAAAAGACTATTTTGCACAGCACGGTTAATGATGTTCCATCCTGTTCCCAGCTAAGACCTTACTGATCAGGGCAGGTGTGCGGACGGCCACCTTCGTTGCCACGGCTGCGACCCAGCGCCCGGCCGCCCTGACACCTACTACGGCTCTACGCGACCCAAGCGATTCCAGCTGCCACACAGCGAGGAGGCAGCGAGGCTGACACCCGACTCAGCACCACGCGGAAGGTGCGCCGCCTCGAGACCCAGGGGTTTCACGAGTAAACGAGAGCAGAGGGTGAAAAGGCAGGACACCTGCTCCTCCTGCCAACTTCAGCTGAAACCCTTGGGAGGCAGCTCGGGGGAAGCAGACGGCCGCGAAGGCCGCGCCCGGCCCCACAGCCCACCGGCGCAGAGGTGGGGGATCGGGTCCCTGAACGCCGCGGCCCTGCGGCCCCGGGGGCCAGCGACCCGGTGCTCGCCTCCCGCAGCGCCGCCGCCGCCCAGGCGCAGCCCCGCCGCCAAGTCCCCGTTTAGCCTCGAAACAAGCCAGCAAACGGCCGAGAAAAACTGAAACCGGGGGAACACCGCTCCGCGCAGGGATCCGGCCGCCACCCCGCCCAGCAGCCGGGAAGGAACAAACCGGCCCGACGGGAGAGGATCCCCGCACGCCGCTGCCCGGAGCCCGCGAGCTTCACACGGCGCGCGCCATGACACCCCGTCCCGCCGCGTCCTGCACGCATGCGCGGCGACGGCGGCCGCAGGGGTCAAAGTGCCTCCTCGCTGACGTGCGCGTTCGGGCTTAACCCGCTCGGCAGTGCGTCACTTGCGGTTCCTCTGGTTGCAAGGGGGAGAATGCACCCCCGGGAGCCGTGAGAATCGCGTACAGCTGACTCCTGCTGCGCATTTACTGGTGCCAGGCATTCCGTGAAGCGCTTTACAGAACATTACCTCCGGGTTGTTATTTGTTTTTCCACAAAAGAGGTAACTGGAGTCTAGGTGCTTGCCCAGAGGCTCAGCGGGGCGCGCCGCCCTCCGTCCTCTCCGCCGACTCCCGAAGAACCTGCTCTTCCCACCGCGGCACGCGCTTCCTCAAGGTTCTGGGGGAAGAGGTCCTGCTGGAGAGGAGAGTAGGAACGGATGAACGAAGTCATTTAACGCCGCGCGAGTTATTCGGAATGCGTAGAAGGCAGTTTGGCAGAGAAAGAGAACTTCTTGCAGTGCCCTGGTTCTCACCGCGCTGCCTGACATCTTATCTCACTTTATTGTTCTTCACCCAAAACACTGTTCTGGACCCGGGTAACCGGAAGAGCATCTCCACTTTGAAAAACGAAGGCACAGGCCGTGAACAGGAAACAAGACAGAGGAGCTTTATGCCTGCCTGACTCTGGGTTTCACAGCGATTTCGGGCAATTACCCTGTTTTGTAAATGCCTTTCCCAGTGCCATTCCCTGTTATTAAAATGCCGCCCTTTTCTCATTCATATTCATGAAAAAAATCTGAACTGCCATTTAGGGCCTCCCGCAGTCCTTTCCCAGCACTGAATTGGAACTGTATGTTTATGTCGCCCCAACTTTTTCATTAGACCAAAAGTAGGCCCTGGGTTATCTTCTTCTTGTCATCCCATGACCTAGCACATAATCTCGCTTTTAACAGCCTCTCAATAAACATGTTGAATGAATGAATGAATGACTCCACCCTCTTTCCCCGAGGTCCAGTTAAAGAAATTTTGTTGAGTGCGTACCACATGGCCTCAGGCACTGTGCTGGATGCAGAGCTAGAAAGGAAAATGACTTAACTCCCCACCACTATTTCAGGCTGCTTCAAGGATACAGTTTCAGTGAAGAATATCAGTCACCGTGGAAGATGATCGCTCGGCAAGCCGCGGAGCCCAAAGGGAGGGCCCTTCCTCTTACGTGGGGAGGTTAAGACTTGCCACGGGGCGAAGTAGGGGAAAGGCACGAAGGTATTCCGGGCTGGGGAGACAGTGAGAGCAAATGCAGGGCAGCTTGAAACTGAGCTATTTTGTATATTGTAAAAGCAAGAAGAGTCGAGTTGGATGATTGATGGTAGAGACGGCCAGAGAGGGAGAGTGCAGGGACCAAATTAAGCGGAGCTTCATTAACTAAAGTGAAGACTTTAGACCTAATCCCAGATGTACTGGGTAACATGAAGTGTCAGGAGGGTATGTTTGAGGACAACTCTTCAGACATGAAGAAATAGTGAACAACTAAATTGACTTGTTGGCTGTGAGGAAGGGGAAAATGGGAAGGAAGGATGCTTTTAATGTGAATCATTTGAAAAGCCAGTGACCCTACCTCTAGGAATTTCTCTTATAGAAATGTTCAATTACCGAAAACGATGTATGTACCATATTTTTTTTGAAACATTGTTTGTAATAGCAGGACTGGAGCCCTCTCTGGCTTCTCAATAGGGGATTGGTTCAATATATTTATGGTATCTATGCAGTTCTTTAAAAAGAACACGGTTGCTTTTAATATCCAAGACATTTTTAAAAGGAAAAAGAAAGTTTCAATATAGAGTATACAGTGCATTAATATAGTTATGGCTACATAGGAGTATGTGTATATAATGAGCAATGGCTACATGGGAGTATAGTGTATAATGACTACAGAAAGATTTACTTTTCCCTGTGTACTGTTGTACCTTTTATTTTTGTATCTTGCAAATGTATTATTCAAAAGAATTAATGGTACATTTTATAAAGTTGATGACATTTAATAATTTATAATTTACCAGTTTATCTGTTACACTGCAGTGCTGAATTCTGATTTTCTCTCATAAAAATATTTAAATTTTAAGTTTTTTTTATTGTGGTAAATTTATTACTTACCATTTTAACCATTTTTAAGTGTACTGTTCAGTAGGATTGAGCACATTCACCTATTTGTGCAAGCATACCACCAGCAATCACCAGAACTTTTTCATCTTCCCAAACAAACTCTGCACCCATTCAATGGCTCCCCTCTCCCCTCCCCCCACCCGACACCCACCATTCTACTTTCTGACCACTCGAGGGACCTCATATAATTGGAATCATAAGATATTTGCCTGTTTGTTACTAGCTTCTTTCACTTTGCATAATGTCTTCAACTATGCTGATGTTGTAGCATCTGTCAGAATTCCTTTCCTTCTTAAGGCTGGATACTATTCCATTATATGTATATACAACATTTCATTTATAAATTTTAAATCTTTATGCTTTACTTTTCAAATTATATTGTAAACCTCATAAGAATAGACCCTTCATTTTATTGATTTGCAGCTCCTAATATAACATTAAATGCTTTATAAATGTTTGCTGGTGGAAAAAACAATTGGTACCTAGTAAGACACACTGAAAATGCAAGCAAATCTATGAAATAATAGTAAAAGCTAACATTTTTTGAGAACTTATAAATGGGTGCCAGTATCCACAGTATCTAGATGTGAATTATAAATGTATTCATCACAATAACTAAGTAATCTGATAAATCAGGATCACTATTATTATCCCCTCACTATGCTCTTTATATAGAGGAGAAATCCAAAGCTTAGACAGTCCTACTTCAGTTTTTTTTTTAACAACTCTATCTGAATATTTCACAAGAAAAACACTATATAGTTTCATTACGACTGCACAATTTCAAGTAGACAAAAATATTGGAGAATAAAAAGAATAATAAGAGAAATGTGAAACAAAATCTAAAAGCCGTCCAAGTGACCAACTCCATTTTTTGTTAGTCTTTGCAGTGAAAATTGAAGACAAAATGTAGGCATAATGAAGTTCAAGAATTCTTACTATCTCAACCAGTAACCCAGAAAGAATAAATATGAAAATTATAAAGATTTAGGAACACATTGTTTAGATTTAGTTTATGATCAGAGCAATTAGCCAGTATACTTATAAATTTGTACCAATCAACATCTTTATATGATAAATAAATCATGCATTTAATTCCCTCTTGAAAAATGATAAGTATACATGAAATTTATGTGTAGAATATTTGATAAATTCAGAATGAAATTTTAAAATGGATTGATCTTCTTATAAAAGAAATAAAGCATAAATAATAAGTTCTCAATTGTTTAAGTTTAGCAGTTCATCACATTTATGCAAATACATCATTATTTATTGTTGCTTCCCATTGCATGTGTCAGAAAATTAACTGTAATTTCTTAAGCAAAAAGCCTGAGGAAGACCCAGGAAAGTTAATGCTGGACCCAGGATTTTTGATTGGATCTAATTAATTAAGTGTCAGAGGAAATTCCCTGGCTGGACACCACACAACTAATGCAGTTTCTTAAGAAGATTTTCCAGTTATTAGTTTTCATAAGGGATTGAAGGTAAGGAAATAAGTTAGGACATTATCACAATAGTCTAAATATGAACCCAAGAAGAAAGATGGTGACGATTGAAATAGAGAACAGAGATACAAGAACTATGTGAAAAGAAAATTTGCCCTAAATGAGTGAATGACTCAGTGTAGAGGGTAAAAGGGAAGGACACTGATGTTCTTAAATAAACTGGAAAAAAATTCATATAAAAACATGAGAAATAAATTAACCTGCTGTGGTTAGACCAACGCTGCAGCTTCTCTATGTAATCTAACCACTAGGGGTCAGAGTTCTGTACTTCTAATATTAGCCATTTCTATCAGTTTACACAAATTGAGTTGGCTCAATTCTGTAATTAATTTTACTTTTTCATTCTCCTGATCCCAGTGTTAGCGGTTTGGGGGCTACGCCTGTGGTCCAGGCCAGATCAATGAGAGCACCATGTTCCCTTGCCACAGGCACATGACCCCACCAGGCCAAGTGAATTCTGGGCGCTCAGTCAGTGGGGAGCATCCATGGCTGGAGTTCTGGGGCTACCATGTGGAGAACACCTGCCTGACACCTAAGCCACTTCAGAGGAAAGCAAAGTTGATCAACAAAGGGAGAAATAAATCAGTAAGTTCTGAAGGCAACTCTAAGCCCCGCACGTCCAGCCGTCCAGCTGCTTGGAACTAGGGTTACTTCTTAGCTGCTCAGTTTTGTGAACAAGTAAATGTCCCCTTTTTAATCCCTTAAGCTAATTTGAGTGATTTCCTTCTACTTGCCACCAAAAGAGTCCTAGCTAAACTTCCTACTTTTACATGTTCTCTTGATTTAAAATAATAATAATAATTTGGAATAGAAACATGAGCAACTTTTTCCTGAATGCATCTCCTTGGGCAAGAGAAACAAAATAAAAAATGAACAAATGGGACTACATCAAGCTAAAAAGCTTCTGTAAAGCGAAGGACACAATCAGCAGAGCAAAAAGGCATCCTACAGTATGGAGAATATATTTGTAAATGACATCCAACAAGGGGTCAACATCCAAAATATATAAAGAACTCACACACCTCGACACCCAAAAAGCAAATAGCCTGATTAAAAAATGGACAGAGGATATGAACAGACACTTCCCCAAAGAAGAAATTCTGATGGCCAACAGGCACATGAAAATATGCTCTACACTGCTAATTATCAGGGAAATACAAATTAAAACCACAATGAGATATCACCTCACACCAGTTAGGATGGGCAACATAGAAAAGACTAGGAACAACAAATGCTGGCGAGGATGCGGAGAAAGGGGAACCCTCCTACACTGCTGGTGGGAATGTAAACTAGTTCAACCATTGTGGAAAGCAATATGGAGGGACCCGGGAATACCACTCCTAGGAATTTGCCCAAAGAAAACAACTTCTCAGATTCAAAAAGACATATGCATCCCTATGTTTATGGCAGAACTATTTACAAAAGCCAAGTTTTGGAAGCAACCTAAGTGTCCATCAGCAGATGAATGGATAAAGAAGATGTGGTACATATACACAGTGGAATACTATTCAGCCATAAGAAACAAATCCTACCATTTGCAACAACACGGATGGAGCTAGAGGGTATTATGCTCAGT